GTTTAATTTTTTTTACCTTTCTACTACATCCTAATATTATATTAATATTCTTAAAACTCCGTGTATAAAACAAACAAATAAATAGATAAGGAACTTAGGGAATATAAGATCGCATAGTATTAAACATTATTCATCACATATATAATGTTACTATATTTCAATTTACGTACAAAAAATAAATTAATACACATTGTTTGGACGTATGAAATATATTTTTATAGCAATTTGTGAGAGTTATACTTCCTCCGTCCCTTAACAATTTATCCATTTTTTTATTTTGGTCCGTCCCATAATAAAGTATCCTTCTAATTTACAATATATTACACAAATGTCATTACTTTTATATCATACAATACTAATAAGGTTAGTTTAATATTTTTACTTTTATTTCGACTATATCCCAATATAATACTAATATTTCTAAAATTCCGTACAAAAAGTAAATGAATAGATAAATATGAGACTGAGGAAGTAGTAAATAATATAGAACAAATTCAAAATAAACATATAGTCTCCGTTCATCTAGCGTTTTCAGATAAAATGATTTTTTGTGTGTGCTATGGAAAATTGTGTCAATAATATAAAATAGATTGAATATTCAATTTTTTTACTTTTTATAATGTATATTTGAAGTTTTTTTACTTTTTAACTTTTGTACAAAATATTTTGTATTTTTTATTATTATTGTTTTAAATCGTAATTGAAAAATAATGTTAAAGAGAATATAGCATAGGGCTCTATTTGTTTTCTGTTTTTTGTTTATTTTCTTATTTTTTAAATATTATTCCCACCGTCCTGGCTACCGTGTTCATTTTACTGTAGACACGAGAATTTTTTCGAGATATAATTAGTAAATAATTAAAAATGTATAAGTGAAAATAATTATTGTATAACAAAAATAATAAAATACTAACAACATTACTAATATAGAAAATAATAAAATAATATTATAACTTATTATTAATAATTTATTATTCTATATTAACTAAGATTCTGAATCCTTAACTAAAAGGGTCACCTTAGGGGGTGAGCAAAATATCCGAAATTCGAAAATTCAATTCGAACCAAACCGAAATTTAAAATTTGGTTCGGATTTTTTGGATTTTCGAATTGGATCGGATTGAATTTTTAACAAATTTTGGATTTTCGGATCAGATCAGATCGGTATAGTTAAAAGCCGAACCAATCCGAAATCCGAAATATAATATTTTAATATATTTTTATTATATATTTAATATTTTATTAGAAAATATTATATTTTAATATAAAAAACTCAAATTTATTAATTATATTTTAATATATTTAATTTTTATACATTATATATATTTAATATTATAAAATAATAATAAAATATAAAAGAATTTAAAAAAATAATAAAAATATTTAGAATTTTGGATTTTTTGGTTTAGTTCGGATTACGGATTTTCGGATTTCGAATTTCGGTTATTTCGGTTCGGTTCGGATTGGTTTTTTCAAAAATTTCGAATTTTTCGATCGATTCGGATTTTGCAAATCCGAACCGAAAATCCGAATGCTCACCCCTAGGTCATCTTGATCTTGAAGGGATTATTATTATTATTATTATTATTATTATGTGCAAAATATGGATGTGTTTACTTGTAATATTTTAATTTTGAATTTTGGTTTTAAATAGTAATATTTTGAATTGAGATAGTTATTTGATGGGATATAAATATGTATTAATGTGATATTTTGAATGTAAAATAAAATTTTAGTATAATATAATAAATAAATAATAGATGTTTGATTTGATATTTTCGAAAAGAAAGAAAAGTTGAAATAGTAAAATTATGGTAAAAAATCCAAAAGTAAACAGATCCTAATTATATCACCCAAACAACATCCCAATACCCTCTAAATATTTTTACAATTCTTAATAACTAACAACAAAATTCTCTCAAAAGTTTAAATTCAAGATGTGTATTTTTAGTATTTAAATTTTTCGGAGGGTTTTGTAGCAAGCTATTGGAAATTGTAGAAGTATTATTAAAATCTTTAGTTTTGTTATTTTGTTTTTAGATATTTTGTGAAAAATAAATACTATTATTTATTTTATCCATCAAACTTATGTCGGTTTTTCTTGTTTGTTTGTAAATAAAAGAAATAAGTATACTTTTTTTATTTATAAGTTATAACAAAGAATTTTCACACTTTTTTTTTAAATTAATATTATTCAATATTACATCTAAGGCCGTTTGATACCGAAGATAGAATTACAGACAAATGGAGAATGAAATTGCAGAAAATTAAGCAGAGAATGAGAATTAATTCTCATAGTTTAGTAAAATAAAGAATTCGGTTGAGAAATGTATAAAAAAAATACAGTTATTTGAATTGATCGAATAAGAATAAATGATTAATCGAACAAAAGAAAATTTTAACGAATGAGAATTCATGAATAAATATTTTTGGTGATTTTTTTATTTTTATTTTTATAAATTATAGGAGTATATGATATTTTTGTAAGATTATATTTTAGTATAAATTTTTAAAAAATCATAAAAATTAAATATTTAAATAATAAATTAAATATAAATATTATAAAAACTAAATAGTATAAAACAAAGAAATGAAAATAATTTATTTCTATTTTTTAGATATGCGAGAGAAATAAAAATAATTTATTTATTAGTTTCATTTTTCTGATTTAAACAAAAGAGAAATGAAAATGTTTTCGGCCGTCAATTTCTTGTTAAAAACCACTCCCATTACAACTAATTATACAATCAATCTATCAAGATTTGATGATCTTATTAACTCATTCATACGTTTCTTTTTCAACATATTATTAATTTATATCACAATTAATTAATATAAATATTATATTTATTAAAATTCATATCCAACTTAAATAAACATATATTTTGTACAAGTATACTTTTACTAAAAATAAAAATGTATCTTAATAACAATAGTAAAATATATATATTTTGTACAAATATACTTTTACTAAAAATAAAAATGTATCTTGATAACAATAATAAAACATATATTTTGTAGAAGTATATTTTTATTAAAAATAAAAATGTATCTTGATAACAAATAAAATCCTAAAATAACACAACCAATATGTATATATATTGAGAACTAGAGAATATTGCAAAAGAATAGAAATAACGATTTTTGCAAACATGTGAAATACATTTTGTCAGCGAGATAAATACAGGACAAAAATGATAATGGGGTATACGTGTGTGATATTTTTTGCAATATTCCCTTGAGAACTATGATGATGGCTTTGAGTTGAAGCAAAGGGAAGAAGAGAATATAGATGATGAGCACAGTGGCCCATACTCTATGTGGACAATCATATCATCATATTGATGGGCTTTTGTTTATTTTAGAGTGGTAAGAAAATGTACTAGCTATAGAATAAATATATTTATTATTTGTAAATTAATTTTGGAATTCTTATACGAAATAATAAAATATTTTTATTTTGAGATTTATATTTATATTTATTATTAATGGGCAAAAAAAATTATATATATTCATTGTTCAATATTTTATTTAAAACTCGTTTATATTTGTTTGTAAAATTCATCACAATATGTCAGATTTGGTTTGTAGATTTAAAATACTGTAATGAAATATTAATTCGAACTTCTATGATGTAATTTTATTCTTATTTTTATTCATTTATAATATATGTTAAGATATATGTGGAAGATAGTATATTACATTTATGGTATTTATTTTATTTTGGAAATTTATATGATTTGTTTCTTTTCTAAACTTTTTTTAATACTTTCTCTCAAAAAATTATACTAATACTCACTAATTATTTTTATAATATCCTCACAACTTCTTATGTTTCACATTAAAATATTTTCTTCAAATTAAAACGCCAAAACAAACACACCCCTATAATTTTCAACTTATTTAAGCCTTTGTGTTCATAACCAACTACATTGAGTTCTTACCATTAAAAAAACACAAAAAACAATTTTATATTCTAATACTTCGTTTATCTATTTTTTAATATCCTATTTGATATTTATACGTATTTTTAGACAATTAGAGTTTTTGTTATAAAATGACAAATTTGTCCTTAATCTTGTGTATAGAAATCAAAGAGTAAATAAAGTAAGGGTAAAAGAGTAAATTTTGTATATAAAAGTAGAAAGAGGACAATAATTGTTGCATATTTCAAATAGGAAAATAGAACTTTAGCTTGTGGACGGAGGGAGTAATATAAAAATGTAATTAAAAAATTATCTTATTTATAATTTTTTTTTTCTTCTTCTTCTGCACGGAATACAAAAAATATTATTTTCATTCTTCTCTTTCTTTTCAATCAAACACACATGGCAATTTGGGGTGTGTTTGGTTATATACGATTGAAAATATATTATTTTTTTATAAAAATATTACATTGAAATATTATTTAAATTCAAACTCAAATCTAACACCTTAATTTCAAATCAAAATAAAACAACTAGGGTGTGCTTGTTTCTAGGTTTGAGGTTTTGGTTTGGATTTATAAATACTAAAAAATTGAATTTGAATAATTGATTGAAGTGATATAAATAAATATTGATGTGATATTTTAAATGTAAATTAAATTTATAATATAATATAATAAAAATGTAATTATTTGATTTGATATATTTTTTTAAAAAAATTAAATAGTAAAAATATGTATTAAAATCCACCAAACAACACAACCTTAATTTTCCTTACCTTACTATTAAACCAAACACAATTTTAGACTCATTTTGTAATCTTCAATTCTATTTGTTTTTTATTTAAATAACTTTTAAAACAACATATTCATTAATCATTTTTCTATAAAATATAACCTCAACTAACAACTTTCTTCTAATACCATTTAAAAACATAATAATCACAATAATAATAATAATAATAATAATAATAATAATAATAATAATAAATGCAAAAGAGCACACCCTTACTCATTACCCATTTGTCCTCTATAAATTTCAAGCATGGCGTGGCACATCAAGGCAATGCAAAAACAAATCTCTGTCGGGTGCTGACATGATTTTTCAGACAACAACGTAGCAGCAGCTACTCACAGTCATAGTCACAGAAGAACTCTTCCTGCACTAGTCGAAAGCCGTGTTGCCAACATGGCCGTGTTGCCAATGCCAATGCTCCTCCTCCTACTCTTTCTCCGCGCTTCAGCTGCCAAGAACTCCGACTCAAACCCATACATCGTGCACATGGACGTGAACAAGATTCGATCTCTGGACCCCGCTCCCGGACCTCCCAACACATTGTATCACTCCCTCCTCCGATCCGTCGCCGCCGATAACCGCCGGCTGCCGGCCGAACCTCCCGAGCTTCTTTACGTCTACGAAAATGCCTTCACCGGCTTCTCCGCAAAACTCTCCGATCAAAACCTCCAACGCCTTAAAACCGTCGATGGCTTTCTCTCGGCCACTGAGGACGAACTCCTCACCCTACACACGACCCATTCGCCGCGTTTCCTCGGGCTACAAAAAGGCCGGGGCTTGTGGGAGCCGGAGAATCTCGCTTCCGACGTCATTATCGGCGTCGTCGACACCGGGATATGGCCCGAGCACCCGAGCTTCGGAGCGTCGGGTGCCCCGCCGCACGACCCTTCCCGATGGAAAGGCAAATGTCAGCGCGGCGCGAATTTTACGTGTAACCAGAAGCTCGTCGGCGCGAGGGCCTTCTTCAAAGGGTACGAGTCGATAGCCGGACGGATAAACGAGACGTTGGATTACAGATCGCCCCGGGACTCTTCCGGGCACGGGACGCACACGGCCTCGACGGCCGGGGGCAATTTCGTGAGCGGCGCGAATCTTTTTGATCTGGCGAAAGGATCGGCAGCCGGAATGAGGCCTACGGCGAGGATCGCCGCGTACAAGGCTTGTTACCGGTTGGGCTGCGCGAGCTCCGACATATTGGCTGCCGTCGACCGCGCCGTCAAGGACGGCGTCGATGTCCTGTCCCTATCCTTAGGCGGCACGGCGAAATCGTTTGACGCGGATAAATTGGCGATCGCGGCATTTGGCGCGGTTAAAAGGGGCATCTTCGTCACGTTCTCTGCCGGGAACTCCGGCCCGACCGAATCGACTGTCACGAACATCGCGCCGTGGATGATGACGGTCGCTGCGAGCTATACGGACCGGACTTTTCCGGCCGAAATCCGGCTCGGAAATGGCCAGTCTTTCGTCGGTGCGTCGTTGTACGTTGGCCGGCCGACTAGGCCGCTTCTATTGGCGTACGCCGAGGGCGGCACCGCCGCCGCCCGTTTCTGTGTCGGAAACTCGCTGTCGCCGGAATTAGTCAGGGGTAAGATTGTCATTTGCGACAGGGGAATTAACGGCAGGGTAGCGAAGGGGGAGGAAGTGAAGAAAGCCGGCGGCGCCGCCATGATCCTGGCGAACAATGACAACCAAGGCGACGAGCTATTTGCCGATCCGCATGTCCTCCCGGCGGCGGCGATCGGCGCCACGGCAGCCAGGGCACTCAAACTATACTTAAACCAGACAGCCAACGCCACCGCCGGAATAAAGTTCGACGGAACAGTGTACAACAATCCGGCGCCGGTCGTGGCGGCGTTTTCATCGCGCGGCCCGAGCCGGATCGCTCCGGAGATCATCAAGCCGGACGTCACGGCGCCGGGGGTGAACATACTGGCAGCATGGCCGCCGAACATCAGCCCGTCGGAGATCCCGACGGACAAAAGACGCGGACTTTTCAACATCGTCTCCGGCACCTCCATGTCGTGCCCCCACGTCAGCGGCCTGGCGGCGCTGCTCAGGTCACGCCACAAGAACTGGTCGCCGGCGGCGATCAAGTCCGCCCTAATGACAACAGCTTACACCAAGGATTCAAAAAACTCCCCCATACCCGACGCCGCCGGGCCCAAATCTGCGACCCCATTCTCAATCGGGTCGGGGCATGTGGATCCGGAAAAGGCGTCGGATCCGGGTCTGGTGTACGACATAGACGGGTCGGATTATCTTCTCTACCTGTGCAGCCTGAGCTACAATTCATCGCAGATTGCGCTGTTCGCCGGCGGGAATTTCGCCTGCCCTAAGGGCTCCGATCTTCAGCCCGGCGATTTGAACTACCCGTCGTTCGCTGTCGTGTTTAATGCGAGCAAACCGAATTCTGTAAAAACGTACAGAAGAACAGTGACGAACGTGGGGATTCCTGTGAGCAGTTATGCAGTGAAAGTGGAGGAACCTGAAGGAGTGTCGATCGAAGTTAAGCCTGCAGTTCTTAAATTCAGGAAATTGGGAGAGAAGCTGAGCTATGGTGTGAGGTTTGATGCGCGGACCGGGGTTGTTTCGAGCAAATTTTCATTCGGTTCGATAGTTTGGGTTTCGGAGCATCACTCTGTAAGGAGCCCCGTTGCAGTGAGTTGGGTGAACCAGTGAGAGAGAGAGAGAGAGGATTAGGGTTTCCAATTTGAACGGTTACATGTTATTGATTCTGCAGTTTCAGGAATCTTCCATTATTTGCACTTTATTTATCGGGTTGGGATTAGGTGCATGATGCTCGTTTAACCATGTTATTACAATTTTTAATGCTTAAGGCTTGTATTAATTTTTAGAAGTTTAATAGTAATTTTAAATTTTTTTAACTAATTTATGCTTTCATTCTCCTTCGCCTTCTCACGTAGAAAAATACCTAAAACTCTTTCAACAATATTAATAGATGAAATTGAGGGACGCGAGTAAAATCAATTATTCATTATTAAAAAACGATCTGCATCAAATACGATACTTCGATAGTCAACATTTCATCTTCTATAAATCAGCATCTTGATACAATGTACACAACATCTCGTAAGTTGTTTTCATGTATTGGATTGTAATAATACTTCAATATTAGGTGTTTTTGTGGGATTTAATAATTACCGTCAAACATCTATATTTTGGGCAACATTGTTGTACGAAGAAACACAAGATTCATTCAAATAGATTTTCAATATTTTTTTAAATGCATAGGTTGTCGTGCACCAAAAACTATTTTTACGGATCAAGATTTGACTATGGTTCCAAAACTAAAGGAAACATTGCCAACAACATATCAGTCTTTGTACACATGATTTAATTGCAAAATATTATAAACATTGTATATAAGCATTTACATATACTAAACTAAGTATTTTACTAAATACCAATAAGCATATTTGTTTATTATATTTAGAATGTTACCGTATTATCAAATATTATAAGTGTTATCCAGAAAATGCCAAAAAATGAATTTAAACATACTTTTCAAAACCTATTAACACAAATAGAAAAAGGATGAATAAGCATTTAAATATTCTGAACCCAACATTTTATTTAATACGAACAAGCATCTCCATGTATTGTGTTTAGCATGTTACTGTATAATCAAACATTATGAGTGTTATCTAGAAATTGCCCAAAAAAACACCCTAAACATGTTTTTATAACACTACGGATTTAAACTAATATCCAAACAGAAAAGAGCCATCAAAATATCAGATTAGAAAATGCCGAAATAAACTTCGGTTTACGACGGGTCAATTGGGCGACGGTAGTGGTTCGCGGCGGGTCCTAGGTTAGCAGAAGAACGACGATTTTCGGCAGCGATCTGATCGACTGGTGGTCAACTGTTCGGAGCAAAAAGAAAAGAGGGAGGAAAAGATAGATAGAGAAGAAGAAGTAGAGAAGAAAGAAGAAGAATATGGCAGCAGCTGCTAGCGCTGGGGAAGGCGCTTCCGCGACTAGGCAGTGGCTATTGTCGGCGCGATTTGGTTGATCGCGAGAGAGAAAGGGGGAGGGGAAGAGAGAAAGAGGGAGTTGAGAGAAAGAAATATTTACGCACATATAAATCCTTTAACTTTTTTAAAACTTAAAAAGACAATTCTACCCCTCTTTAATCTAAATCATCTAAATTTATTTACTGTGATGGACGGTCCATATTCTATCAGCATGATGCTGATGGTGCACCATCAGCACTGAATCCATCTCCTTATTTACCTGTATTTGTCTATTGTAATATGTTGGATTTGGGATCAAATATGTGTATGGAATATATTGTTAAAGTCATTATTTTATCAAGTCATATTATTTAAATGGTCTAATTAATATAATTAATTTTATACTGGTAGGTTTGATTGTTATGGAATGAAAGTGCAGCTATCCGTATAATATTATTATTTTGGTGACGTGACAAATTAACAATATTAATTAAGGGTATAATTGTAATTGCAATTATGTTTGCCCTATTATAAATAGGCTAGAGTTAGGTCTCCAGGATCAGCACGCCGTAAAAGAGATCTTATTTTCCTTGCAGTTTTTGCTCTTCACCCGGTAATGACAGAAAGGAAGCCGACATCCTGATCTTGGAAGACCAAACCTTTAATCACCCAAGATTTGTATATGGCTTCATCTACAGGTACGCTTCCACTCTAAGGATCGGACATTTAAATTCAACAATTGGTATCAGAGCATGTTGAATTATTTGGATGTTTTGTCGGATCAATCAAATTTATTGGTATCGATTTTTGGGTTTCTTCCTTAGATGAAGTAATTTTTTTTAATTAAATTTAATTAATTGAAAATTTGATTGAATCCGGTGACTTATTATGGTTCGGCTTTTGTGCATCTGCTGTTTCTTTAATGTATTTATTTAAGTGCAATTTATGAAATTACAATTTAATAATATGGATACATTAATGCCATGTTTGTATGTATATATATATATATATGCAATTAATTAATTATGCATTGTTGGAATCCATTCACGAAATCAGAGATGCATATGACGTTTACTCATTCAATCATTTATTCGTTGGAATCAATTCATGAATATGCAAATTTTAATGACCATGCCTCGATCCCGCACCTGCGTTAGTTTGTTATTTATATTTTATTTATTTATTTTGGGAGAATATATGCATATATATATATATATTATGCAAATGATATGCAAAATTTTCTAGAAACAGCATGTGTATTTATTTATTTATCATGACTGTTTTAAACGATTTATGAAATTGATATATGCATCTTCAGAAATTAATTATTTTTTTGTATTGCAAATAATTTTAATAACTTGGAAACTCATTAATAATGTTTGCTGCGTTTTGAAAGTGAAAATCTAGTATAACCTCTCTTATATGAAATTTTTTCTTGATAACGTAAGTTTTTATATGTGTATTTTAATTCATGTGATTATTCTTCGGCCCAAAGGCAGCCGGTAATTGACAGAATAAAATATATATCTGCGATAATATGAATGGAACAATTATATGGATTTAACTTATGTGAATAGTGAGTCAGTCCAAATAGTGATTCATTATTTGACATTACCGTATATGATTATTGCAACAAGATGACTGCTTGCAGTTAATGGCATTGATCCAAAGATTAAACATTAATGTTGCGTTTAGTGTCTTGAGATGGGATTGCATTATTTTATTTTGAGTTTCATTATGCTACTTGAGTACTTATGTGTATATTTATTCCTTGTTATCTTCAGGATCGAATCTTATGGTATCTTCTAACTATTCAGTTCCAATATTGTCTGGGGACAACTATCAACACTGGAAAGAATCAATATTGATTCATTTGGGCTGTATGGATCTAGACTTGGCATTAAGGATAGACCAACCCTCTTCTCCTACGGAAGAAAGCACTGCAGATGAAAAACAGTTGTTTGAGAAGTGAGATAAGTCTAATCGCCTTAGTCTAATGATCATAAAGAAAAGCATTCAAGAAATCTTTAGGAGCACCGATATCTGATGATATTATTACTGCCAATGATTTCCTTGTCGAAATTGAGAAACGTTTTACCAAAAGCGATTAGGCAGAAATGAGTACTCTTCTGAAGAGTTTCATTACCATGAGGTATAACGGCAAAGGAAATATAAGGGAATACATCCTGAACATGTCTAATACTGCTATTAAGTTAAGAGCACTTAAGTTAGACCTTTCAAAGGACATGTTAGTCCTATTGGTTTTGCTCTCACTTCCTACTCAATACAATCAATTTAAAATCAGTTATAACTGTCAAAATGAGAAGTGGACTCTTAATGAGCTCATCTCTCACTGTGTTGAGGAAGAAGAAAGGATGAAGCGTAATAAGACTGAAGAGGTAAATGTAGTTGATACCTCAAAGGATGCATGCGGCAAGAAGAGAAAATATAAGGCCGTTAAGGTTAAGACTGCTAAGGTTCATGTTCCAGCTTCAGCTCCTCAGGCTCATCCTGAAAAGACTTGCTTCTTTTGCAAGAAACCTGGACATGAGAAGAAGAATTGTACTAAGTTTCACGATTGGTGCGTGAAGAAGGGTACGTTTCTTACTTTGGTTTGTTCTGAGGTTAATTTAGCTTCAATACCTCGAAACACTTGGTGGTTAGACTCTGGATCAACTACTAACATCAGCGTTTCAATGCAGGTTTGCCTGAGCTACCGAAACCCAACTGATGCTGAAAGATGCATTTACTTTGGAAATTGGGACTCAGTAGAGGTGGAAGCCGTGGGCATTTTCAAGTTTTTATTGAGTACTAGACATTTTCTTGAATTACAAGACACTTTTATTATATCATCATTTAGACGGAATTTGATTTCTGTTTCTTATTTAGAAAAATTCGGTTATCATTGTTCTTTTAGAAACAATAAAGTTGAGTTGTCTTTTAATTCATGTTTGGTTGGTTTTGGTACTTTTATGGTGAATGACAATTTATATACGCTCGATATGTTGGTTTCATAATAATGAGGCACTTAATACGGAATCAAAAAGTACTAAGCAAAAATTGCATGACTCTAGTTTATTGTGGCACAAACGTTTAGGTCATATTTCAAGAAACAGAGTTGAAAGACTCATTAAGGATGGAATCCTTGATTCCATAAATTTTTCAGACTTTGACGTTTGTGTCGATTGCATTAAGGGTAAACAAACCAAGGTTAAAAGGATAGGTGCTTATCGAGCTACGGATGTCTTAGAATTGATACATACAGACATTTGTGGGCCTTTTCCCACTCATTCGTGGAACGGTCAATAATATTTTGTGTCATTCATAGACAATTATTCTCGATATAGTCATATGTACCTTATTAAGGAAAAATCAAAGGCACTGGACATGTTTTAAGGCTGAAGTTGAAAATCAACTAAGCAAACGCATTAAGACTGTCAGATCTGACCGTGGAGATATTACGGCAGAAATGATGGTTCGGGTGAACAGCGTCCAGTTCCTTTTGCTAACTTCCTTAAGGAGTGTGGAATCGTCCCGCAGTACACCATGCCCGGTTCACCTAGCATGAACGGTGTTGCTGAGAGACGAAACCGCACATTGAAGGATATGGTTTGAAGTATGATTAGTCAATCTACTTTGCCACCATCATTATGGGGAGAAGCACTAAAGACAACAGTCTACATCCTTAATCGAGTGCCAACAAAGGCGACTGCCAAAACACCCTATGAACTCTGGATTGAGCGCAAGCCTAGCTTAAATCATCTTAAGGTGTGGGGTTGTCCAGCTGAGGTGAAGGCCTATAGGCCAAATGAACCAAAGCTAGCACCTCGTACAGTGAGCAGTTATTTTATTGGCTACTTGGAACGGTCA